GATGGTCTGATAAAGCCTGGCAAAGCGTAGTTTCAAAAGTACCAAATGTAGGCCAATACTGATATTTCCCTATTTCCATGTTCCCCCAAACCTCTATGCAATAATATATAATTTTTTCTTTAGATTTTTCCTGTCTCATGGAGCAATCATCCCAGTGTTCTAACATCCATTGCAAAGGACGTTCCCTCAGAATCTCAGGTACCCCAGGATTCCTCATCTTTTCAAGCTTTGTAGCTTTCTCTTAGGGTTTTCCCTGAAGTTCACCTTTTCTTGTCCCATATTTGAGATATTTCTTACAGTGTTTCCATGATCGATCCTCCATGCGTGGTTTGGTCCGCGCCTTACCAACCTGCTGATCCCACAGTGAACTGTTCTATGGGTGTTTGGTTTTGGTAACTTTGAGCTCTCTTACCTGGTTTCTTGTTTCTTTTTCTGGACTCCCTGAGTCCTGGATCAAAGGGGTTTTCCGATTTCCCAAACCCACGTGAATGTACCTTCCCCCCCGGTCCTTTTGTGATTGGATCCCGGAAGGTTCCCTGAACCCAGGTTGTGTGTGTGCTTTTTACGATGTGCCCGATTCTGTTCACTTCCCCTGTAACTGACCACTTCCCTCGTGGGACAGTGGAACTGCAGGCACGGGGAACACTCTCGCCCCGTGACTAGGTCACGTCTCACACACACAGCCAATCACAGCCACTCAACCACGCAAAACTTACGGCTCCTTTTGCTACGTGGATTCTTGGTGCACGGAGATTTTTACGAGTGAAAAAAATGCAGCTGCTGCTCCGAGAGCTCTGGGTCCGTTTTTATCCTTTCCTTGTTGTGGCTCTCTGGCTATTGTTCAGAATCTTGTTGGTTCTGTGGAGTTCTTCAGTCCTGTCCGGCCACTGAAATCAGCGGGGCACAGCCCGGATCAGGGACAGGGAACCTCCTGGATACCCCAAGACCAGATCACGCTGGGGTCACAAAGATTGCTATAAATGAAAATTGATTCAGCCAATTCAAAATGAAATAATAGAAATTGTATTTACGATTGAATTCTATCTAGCCAGCCACAAGAAAGAAGGGCA